TTTATCGATCTGATGTGAAGGAAGGTACTCGGTGTGATTGTTAGATCCTGACTGACCTTGTCTCCATGTAATTATAAGCAGCTAATGAAGCTACTGATGCAGTTTGCAATAAATTCAGAGGAAAGTCTCCTCCAAACAGCTGGCAGCAACAGACTAAACTTCAGCTCCTGTTAATGTTTTGTCAAAAGCTGGATTACATTAACTCCTGGAGAATGTGATGTATCTGAGCAGTCAGTCTGTCTGTCCACGTAAACTGTGTCTTTTATTCTCTGGGATGTTTTTGGACTGATATTTGCACTGGAATGTGGAAAAAGACTTTCCCAAATCTTTAACTCAAAGTACATGATTTGTGCTCGCCTATCTGTTGATGAGACGGTGAAGTTCAGACTTGTGCCGTGTTAACAGTGATACAGAAATGTTACTTGGCCTACCTAAAAACATCACCATCATCATGCCATCAGATTAGAAAGAAGTGCATGTCTGATTATTAGAATTGTATAATCTAGTTAATTACGTTTCCACAACATTGCAGCGTTCATCATCTCATCTTACCGTTGAAGAACTTGATGATGTCGGTGAAGTCCATGTTATTTTCCAAGATGATGTCTCGATACATCTCCACGAGCGCCAGGGCGATGAAGAGCACAAAGTGCTCGGAGGAGGTGTGCTTGGCTGCCCAGATGGTTTCCCACACGGAGAACACATCATCGTACACCATTTCTGTTGGGAAAAGGCAAACAAATCAGATCACACTCACGGGAAACGATGAGTTCACGTCACAGGCGATTAAAGCAAGCGTTACGGTTCCTGCTTTTCCCCATCACCTCTTTTGAAGTCGAGAAGAAACCAGCGATAGCAGAAGTAGAAGTGGGTGTAGTCTCCATTCTGCTGCATCAGTTCAAACAGCTCAGAGTCCAGAATCTATTATGTATAAACACAAAATTTCATTATTGCACTACAGCTCATATGTGTGTGTATCTTCAACACTTTGTAATACAGCTTGAGGTG